GAACGCCCCACAAGGTTCCACCCACAACAAAAATGCTATTTTGCCCCCTGCCCCCGGTTCACATTTTCTCACCCTTCCCGGTTGGTATTTTTCATTTTTAATTTTTTTTTTTTTATTTTTTACAACCCCCCCCCCCCCCCCCCCCGAAAACAAAAACAAAACAAAAAAACCTCTATAACTAACAGCACATATAGGTCATCTGCCTAACAGTACAAAGCTACCTCCAAACAACCGTAAAGCCAGGGTCCCCGATTACTATAATATGGACCGACCATACCTTGCATTTGATTGTCTGTGCCGAGCAGCTCTGGAAAATGAAAAATTAAAGTCTATCAAGTCAGCAGCCTTCGTTACCGACATCGATACGATATGGGGTCTCTTCTCCACTTTGAACGGTGTAGGTACCTCTTGTAGCAACCTCAACCGCAAACAGAAACATGCTAAAGGAATATGCCTGGCGGTTCACGTAGTGGACGGTACCATATTTATGAAGATAGTCAACAGCCACCATGTTGATGGTAATCACCACTACAAGGCCGCAACGCACCATCTAAACAAAAATAGTCGTCAATGGTGCTGGGGTCCATGTGTTGGTGTTAAGAGTAACAAACCGAACGAACTTAACACTTTTAAGCGTATCATGTCATATGAATTTAGTGGTTTAGCTATGGTGGTTGAGGATCCTTACCAGACACTCACGGCTCCCCATAGTTGCGGTGGAATATCTAAGCAGGATCTGAAAGTTCAGGATGATTGGAATTAGGAAACTGCCCATCCTAACGAAGATCCCACGAAGAATGGTCCACCGTACGATGTTTACCATCAAAAAGCGGCCGTCAGCCACAGAGGAATGATAGTCTTTGCAAGCAAAAGCAAAAGGTCCGCTATGCCGTACCTGAAGAACCTCGGATTAATGTGCCGTTTATGGCTGTCGCAAAGTCGAATGGCTATGATATTCCCCTACGATATATCTGGGAAGAATGTTGTATTCTCGGACCGTACCGAGCTATTTGATTCCGGGTCAGTAGTGGAGGACTCTGGCAACTCTGGGAAGAACTCCGAGAAGAACTCCACGAAGAAGTCGACACTCGATATTTGGGCAGAGCAGACAGACATCCAGAAGACACTCAAGCTTCTCCACCGCCTCTTACAGCATGTGAAGCAGATGGCTGAGGCCATGCAGAGCCAGGGCGTCTACACATTTGCCTTGAAGCAACTACGTAAGCGTGATATGGTACTAAGTGTTGAGACAAAGGAAAGCCCCTCCGCGCATTTGGTGGTTGATCTAATATCGCCGAAGGTTCAACATGATTTTAGTCAGGTCCGGGACGACGACGAAACAGAAGGTGTCGATGCGGAAGTTGACTACGAGACGAAGGACAGGGGCGAAACGGTGGAGAACCAGAAATAAAGTGATGATGAGAATGGAGACGATGACCAAGGGGTGACGATTGAAATAATTGATGAAAATACAAGTTTATAAACTATATTATCATCAATTCCTTCAGTTAATATATGGCAATGAGGTGCTTAGGTCATAATACCTTGTAGCGATCTCCAGACAACAAGGATCATGGACGGTGATAGGTACATCGGAAAAAACAATACCAATATTGAAAATCCCGTACACTTTAGTAAGTGCTGTGAGGTTTAAGATGAGTCGAATGTTTCTACATATCCTTCGATTGAGCCAAACATTAGGTACATAGGTAGGTAGGTAACTTTGCAGCATTTACACGAAGTTACCCCTGACACAATGACCCGGGTTTTAACTTTTAACCGCCTCGAAAGAAACCACTTAAGAGAGTAAGTCAATTACCATTATATCGACAATATCTACGTAGCATTAAACGACAATGAAGGCTAGACCTAGTGGTTGTGGTACCAGGTAGCCAATGAAATTACCCCGCGAGGAGCTCCCGGGAGCTCTGCACAATGATGTAAACATCAAGACGAAGAGGCGTTCAATTTCGTCATGACTTGCTGTCGATACAAGAACCGGACACTCCCATCCGCTCCAGCCAAAATGTACTCTTGGGCTTCGATGAAAACACCGAGACGTCATGACCTCACCAGTTGTCCGAGGCATCTCCCACCATAAGAAGCCGCTCGCTGGCATCGTTCTTCGAGCCGGTGCTTTAATCAATCACTCACCAGCGCTTTGTGCAACACCATCATTCTGCTTACAATCACCACAACTGCAGTTCCCTAGATCAGCACATCTATTCCAAACAGTCAGAATGGCGTCAAACACCCGCAACGAACCCTTCACCCGCGACAAGCTCTTCGACCTGAAGGGGCACGTAGCGCTCGTAACGGGCGGCGGCTCGGGCATCGGGCTGATGGCGACGCAAGCGCTCGTCGCCAACGGCGCCAAAGTGTACATCACGGGGCGGACCAAGGAAAAGCTCGACCGCGTCGCGGAGCTATACTCGCAGGGCAAAGACTCCATCGTGCCCATCACGTGCGACGTCACGGAGAAAGCTCAAATCGCGAACCTAGTCAAGGAGATATCGTCGCGCGAGGAGTGTCTGTGCATCCTGATCAACAACGCGGGCATCAGCGGCGCGACGATGCAGACCGAGGCCGGCTCGGCCGAGGAGATGAAGAGGAACCTGTTCGATAACGAGAAGTCGACGGTGGAGGACTGGACGGACGTGTACCGCACCAACGTCGCGCAGGTCTTCTTCGCGACTGCGGCGTTCTTGCCGCTGCTGGAGAAATCGTCGAAGCGCTTCCCTGGCTGGTCGGGCACTGTGATTAATATCTCGTCGATTAGCGGACTCGTCAAGACTGCGCAGCATCACTTCGCGTATAATGCGTCCAAGGGTGCTGCGATCCATTTGACTAGGATGTTGGCGTCTGAGGTGGCGGCTAACAGGCTGAAGATTCGTATCAACTCGATTGCCCCGGGTGTTTTCCCTAGCGAGAGTAAGTGGCATTTCTCAATTATTTATTTAATCTAATCGTAGGCATTTCTGTACGACACGGGAACTAACTAGATGTTCTAGTGACTACCGACGGCAGCAATGAAGATCAGAAGAGCCATATCGAGAAGGAAAAGTATGAGAGCAAGGTGCCGGCGGGTCGTCCCGGGAAGGACGATGACATGGCGCAGGCGGTGCTATTCTTTGCCGCGAACCAGTATTTGAATGGACAGACCGTTGCAGTAGATGGCGGATATACACTCGCAGCTGGAGAATAAAATGAGGGATTATTACTAAAAGGAAGGTATTATTATATTAAAGGGACGGCGTTCGTGTGTAAGTTATAAAGTATATGTTGGTATTATGAAGATACGAAATGAACCAATCAAATAGTCCGTTGGAACTAATACATGTATACATGCGAACACCTAGAGCAACACCTATAGCTACCTTATATGATCAAATGTACCTATTTAAACAACTTAAAGATCTATCTCATCACATCCCCAAACAAAATCGAAACCACAAAACACCCACTCGAACGAACCTTTCCTATATATATATATATATATCCCCCTGTAGTTCAACTATCTCACCATCAATGTACACGACTATTCCCATCCCCGCCAAGCCATGCAAGCACGGTGCCGTCGCATCGAGCTTATCTAAACCTGCGTCCTTGGCTACATTTGCGCTCGCAGATCCGATCTACCTACTGCTGCGACGCAATAGCGAGGCGTAGATATAGCCACGACTGATGTCATGTCATGTCACCTCACCATACAATTGTTCCGCTTGGGAAATGCTCCCGGGGAGTTCGACGAGGCGCACGCATGCGGCCTATGTATAATCGTTGGATACCGGATAGTTTTGACGGACGGCGCGATCCATTCTATTTTTTTTTTTAAAACCCCCTTTTGTCCTATCATTGCCTGTCTGGCGGGACAACGGGGGGGCTATATCGTTGAGCTATAATTTATTGTTTTTTCACTACCCAACTTCGTAGGGATGGAGCATTTGCTGTTAACTATTGTATCTAAACATGCACAGTTGTGCTTTATTAAAAGGTACGAAAAGCGAAAAGCAAAATAGTGCAAATATCAATTAAACCTAATCTAAACCCAATCTTTAATAATAACCTTCGTCTTTAAACTAACTGGAATAGCCCATCTAACATCCAGCTGCCCAGTAATAGGATAATCCATGTCCCATCAGCCGTTACTAATCCATGTCCGGCCACGATGTGACGCGGCAGCCCATTGCGGGGCCCCGTCTATCGAAGATCCACGTATATATGTACCTACCTTACCTTACCTTATTTGCGCTGCGCTGCGCTACCCAAAACCCTACCCGTACGTATGTACAGACTCCACGGAACTAGGCGCGATACGTAAGCAAACTGTAACCCAGCCCACGTAGCTGTAGGCTGACCTCACACTGCAGCGGAATCCGGAGTGAGAATTAGATGGCGTACGATACGAACCGAGATTTGGACTGTCCAGGATTATATTTTACATAGGTACCTATATAGTACCGCATCCCATGTTTTACTATAGGTACCTAGTTAGCAATCTAGATATTATGTGCGTATATGAGTTATAACATAAATGTTCAGCACAGCACGATACATACCTAACGCGTCCAAGTAACAATGTGACATCACTAAAAATATTTCCGAACTAAAAAGATCTACGTCCCGAATCCCACTTCGCCGGTGCTGATCCGGTAGACGGCAAGGCGGGACGCCAACGACGCTAGGTTAAAGACAAGTCGACAGGGGCGGGGATTACAGCTTCGTAGCGTGTACCATAGGGCTGGGACGTGGACAAGGTATATTTGACCTCGAGACTTGGCCCTGGCGTGTATTCCTGTTGCTTGGTAATTGTCACACCCTGTAGAGATCAGTATCGTGTTCTATAAGTTACTTCTAAATCACACAAGTATTTCACTATGCTTATTTAGAACGATATAGTAGTAGTATGAGACTGGTATGAGACTGTATATTCGGTTGGGAACTGACTACCAAACCGGTGATAATATGACAGACGAGGCAACCATAGAAGCAGACCGTAGCAGTACCACACAGAAGAGAATCATTGCCAAGTACTTGAGAAATACCCAAATAACTAGCATTTCAAAACTTTGCTGTGGGTTTACCTGCTACTTGCCATTACAGGCAGCTTCTGACAATGGTGCGCATCTCCGTCAATTCTCTGCCAAGAATCTCGTTCTGCCCATGAATATAAATCAAGAAATATAACGCCACACATGATGCAAAGGTATCCTCAATGGGGGAAGAGCCCAATCTGACCAAAACCCCAACCAATGAACCGACCGACCAATAGACCAACCAACCAATAGACCAACCAACCTCGCCTAAACCGAAAAAGAAACATGTGTGGAGTGGGGGCAATCATAGGGGTATGAACCTGCTCACTCCGGGTATCATTGCAATCCCGTTATGCTGTGTATCAATGAAAACCAAGTCTCTCTTCCGTGATCTGATACCGTTGATGAGTTGACGTCTGTGAAACAAGTAGAACCAAGTGAACAAAATGGAAATATGTATCTCTGAGACCAATCCGATGGCCGTAATGCAACCTCCGATAACCAGGCAACTGAAGCCTAACCGAAATCAATATGCACAAATCATTAAAAATTCGAGTCCGAAAGACCCGACAACGCTATACGTGGACTAGGTTACCCCTAGATGATTCGATCCATGCCAATGGATCATGGCTAAGGGGATTCGTTGATCAATTACATGAAGTCGGTCATCCAGGTCTTCTCAAGCCAGCCGACCTTGTCAAAGGCTGTCCACAACTTGGAGGCTTTGTTGACGTCGATTTTACAGGCCTGCTGTGCATCCGTCTTGCGGAACTCCTTTCCCATCTTAAGACACTCTCGACGACGGATAAACATCCGCCGCTTGCTCGTCAGGTAGGTAGCACAATCGAGTCGAAGATTGGCGGCGAGTGTAATCTCATCAGGGTGCAGGAGGTGACGATGCGGGTCATTGCTCAAATCGATTGGTGTTCCTTTCCAATCCACCTTGAGGCTGTTGGATCGTTCCGGGAGCGAATTCAAAGGCGGGCAGAAGTTGGGAAGCGAGGCAAAATCCTTATCTTCCCGGTTTGGCGCAACTGCGCGACGTGGTGAAGGATCAGGCGTCGCGCTTGGTGGGCGATTGGAAGATTGACCCGGGTTCGTCGTTGGATATGATCGGATTGGTCGCGGAGCTGCCGTGTTAGATTGTGTTGCTTTGACTACCTTTGCTGGCTTCGCAGTCCTTGCACGCTGCGTCTCCTTTCGAACCTGAGGGAGCTTTGCCGGAAGGATTAGCTTCGGCTGGAGCTTGAACTGATTGTTGCGTGCCCCGGCTCGTCGGTCTGCCAGTAAAAGTTCACGTTCACGCTTAAGCCACGCCTTCGGATCCTGCTGGTACTTCTTCATTACTTGGGAGCTGAAGTATAGGAACAATTCGTAATCCTCTCGCTTGGGTGGGCTCGACTTTCCAAACAGATCCGCCGGTCGTACATTCACATGTTCGTCTACAATTCTGCGAACGTCGATAGAGTCGTCTTGGCTGAACAATGGTTGTTGCTGCGGTGAGCGAGTAACGTCCTGCGGGGGGTACAGGATAGGATCCTGCACGGCAGTGCTTGTGGACGGCGCAGGATTGACAGAATGATCATCAGCCTTCGTGGCAGGTGAGATAGGAGGCGAGATGGGCGAAATGGGATGCAGCCGTCGAACATCGGAAATAGTTGGGCCAATGGGTTTCGATTCGCGTCCATGCGAAAACGAATCGAGTCGAGGAGGCTCAGGAGGCGACATCAGGTTGCTGATATCAAGGGGCTTCTTAAATCCCGATTCCGTTGAAGAGGCGATTGGCGCCATCGCAGTCTTATCCATGTTGCGCGAGGAAGCTGATGTTGAAAGTAAATGAGTTGGGAGCCTGGTGCCGAATGTAGAAAACTTGATGCCGGTTGTCGACATTGGTTTGTCAGCCATGGACTCTGATGCCAGGCTATGTGGGTCGATGTGAGCACGAAGTGGCAAACCAGGCAGAAATTCAATTACGTAGCAATTGATTAATTCAGTGGAATTTGGAAAAATATGTTGTCGTTAATGCGACCGTGATTGCGGTTGCGATCGCAGCGGATTAATTTTGTTTTGGGGGTCCAAGTGGAAAGAGTTGAGTCGGGTGTGCTGTGTTGACGATTCCTTAGATATATAAGTAGGTACCTAAGGGTCGATTTGTTGTTGGAAGCTTAGAGAAGAAGGCAGAGCTAGGTTTCGGAGATAGGTAACGTGGCGGTGGAATTAGAATTCCCTCGTCGTCACTAGTGCGGTATTGTCCCAAAGAGTTGGAAAGTTAATTGAGTTGTGGAATGACGAACAATAAGCAGCTAGGTTATATTTGTATTGTTATCCTCGTGGCGGCGGCGATTGAGTTGAACGCTGTGAACTTCTACCAACAAGAGAGCCACCATTTGCGGGGACTGGGTCTGGTCAGGGTGATCAGGGGTAGTGATTATAAAGGTTCGATAGGGTTGTCTAAACGCCGAGGCCAAGAATGCGCATTGAAGAAAATATAATGAATTGAATAGTATAGCCACGGGTGGCAAACAATTGTCGGTACTGTGTTTGTGAGCTTTGGTAAGATTGAGAATTGAAGGTCAAGGCGGAGACGGAGAAGGCAAGATTGAGAAGTAAAAAGAGGAAGAAGTGTAAATCTAGACAGGCTGGTCCTGATGGATAGATGAAGTATCTAAGTAAGAGAACGGGTGTGGGAGAAGGACAAAACAGCCTCCCATTAGGCTGGTGACTTTAGAACGGTCTTGTTCTGTGTTTGGGGTCCGTACCTCGTCGGATATAGACGTGGATGTGTTTTGGTGGTGGTGTCGTCAAAGAGTCACACCCCCATCCTCCAATAGTCATCGATGTCAGTCATAGGGCAGGGCCAGACAGGGCAGACGCGGCGTGGCGGGCGCAGGGGTGTGCAGCATTTGGCGTTGGCTTTATTTTTGGGACCTGTCCTGCGTGAAGAGACCCAGGAAGCCCAGGAAGCCCAGGAAGCCCATGTCCCCAGACCGAGTACCCCTAAGTACCTCAGCTGGATTGGTACTTTGGTGCTTGGAGGAGTAACTCCACTCCACCTTGGCTTTCATCGGCCACCAACAGGATAGCCTGGTAGTTCAGGTTTGGAGAGAGCCTTTCTCACCTTCATAGGTACCGGTATGCCATGTACTGGCGTGCCGTACCTTTGGTTTTGCCGACATACCCCCATCCATCTCCGTTAAGTACCTAGGTAGGTATGGATGGACACAGGGTTAGGTACAGATCTAATGCTGTGAACAAGATTCGAAGCTGTTCGAATTTTAGGGCAAGAGACAGGACGAATGTCAATAAGACCTGTCACATAATTGACAAGTTTTCCAACTCAATTGTATTTCGTAAGGAGCGCAATTGGAAGGACAAAGCTTGATGGCTTTT